TGGAAAAGGTACTCGACAAGCTGCGTGGAGCAAATTTAAAGTTGAGTCCAAAGAAATGCTCTTTCTTCAAGCGCGAAGTGAATTATCTAGGACATGTTATTTCTGAGAGAGGAATTGAGACTGATCCAGCCAAGACTGTCGCTGTTAAGGAATGGCCAACACCTAAAGACAAAACGCAAGTTCGGGCATTTCTTGGATTGTGCTCGTATTATCGGCGGTTTGTGAAAGGATTCTCGGACATTGCCAAGCCTTTGCATCGATTGACAGAGGAGAAACGTGCCTTTATCTGGGACGAGGATTGTGAGCAAGCCTTTCGAAAACTAAAAGAACGGCTTTGTAACACACCAATTCTCGGATACCCCAGCGCGAAAGGAATATTCGTAGTTGATACGGATGCCAGCAATATTGGAATAGGAGGTGTCCTTTCACAACGCGATGGTGAGCAGGAGAAGGTTATTGCTTACTTCAGCAAGTCACTATCTAAGCCGGAGAGGAATTATTGCGTGACCAGGAGGGAATTGCTGGCCGTAGTCAAAACTCTGCACCATTTCAAGAAGTATTTACTGGGACGGAAATTTTTGATCAGAACTGATCACGCTGCTTTGAAATGGCTGCTTCAGTTTAAGGATCCCGAAGGCCAAGTAGCCAGATGGTTGGAACAACTTCAGGAATTTGACTTTGAAATCGAACATCGCGGCGGAAGAATTCATGGCAACGCAGATGCATTATCGAGACGCCCATGCGTGGAAGATTGCAAGCATTGTGCCAAGAAGGAAACTGCTTTTCTTAAGGTGATAAGGACTGATACTGTTGACGAGGCATGGGGAGATGATGCGATGAAATTAGAACAGGAAAGAGATGCAGATATTAAACCAATACTGGAGTGGCTACGAAGTGGTAACAAGCCAAGTTGGAGTGACGTCGCCCAATATAGCGCGGTAACGAAAGGTTTATGGGCACAGTGGAAAAGCCTTACGCTGCATAACGGACTTCTGTGCAGGAAATGGGAATCAACAAACGGCAAGGACGAGCATTTGCAATTGGTGGTGCCTCGTTCAAAAATAAGGGATGTATTAAAAGCGTTCCATGATGGATCTTCTGGAGGACATTTGGGAATTAGGAGGACTTTGGTGAAGATCAAGGAGAGGTTTTATTGGTTGCATTGCAAATATGACGTCGAAGATTGGTGCCGGAAATGCACTAGTTGTGCAGCTGTCAAGGGTCCACAAACAAGAAGCAGAGGGGCGATGAAAATCTACAATGTTGGTATGCCTTGGGAGAGAATAGCCTTAGACATCGCTGGACCATTTCCAATCACTGATTCGGGCAATCGCTACGTTTTAGTGGTTATGGATTATTTTACAAAATGGCCGGAGGTCTTTGCCATACCGAATCAAGAGGCAGTAACTGTAGCCACGAAGTTGGTAAACGAGGTATTCACCCGATTCGGAGTGCCCTTGGAGATGCACAGTGATCAAGGACGGAATTTTGAATCCCAAGTTTTTCAGGAAACTTGTAAACTTTTGGGAATCCATAAGACTCGAACGACCCCTTATCATCCACAGTCAGATGGAATGGTCGAACGCTTCAACCAAACATTGGAGCGACACTTAGCAAAGGTGGTTGACAGCCATCAGAGAGATTGGGACACTTACATACCTCTCTTCTTGCTTGCCTATCGGACTGCTGTACATGAAAGTACCGCAAAGACGCCTGCATTTGCAAATTTTGGAAGGGAATTGAGATTACCGGCAGATCTTGTATCGGGCTGTCCACCTGGCGACACTCGCACCGAGTTTAGCGATTACATAAACGAGTTAAGGGCAAAAATGTTGGACATTTATGAGCAGATCAGGGAGGCCGGTCTTCAAGCTAGTGATCGCGCAAAGACGCGCTATGATCGACGAGCCAATTCTGTTGGGTTTGAAGAGGGGTCATTGGTCTGGCTTCATAATCCAGTCAGAAGGAAGGGAAAATCTCCGAAGCTTCAACCGAGTTGGGAAGGTCCTTATGAGATAGTCACGAAGATCAATGACATTACTTACAGAATTCGGAAGACTCCTTTCAAAGGGCTCCTTGAAGGAGCCCTTTGAAAGTTGTCCATATAGACAGGTTGGCGAGGTATTACGGCAGCAACGATGCTCGGGACGAGCGAATCTAAGAGGGGGGCAGTGTGACGGAAAAGTGGTTCAAACTCTTTGACATCATGACGTCAATGGATGGTTGTCAAACGTTGCCTAGAGATTGTAAATTTCGTCGTGAATTGTCAACACGAGTTGGTGTAATCGGTAAGGCGTGTGGATTACACCACAGAGACCCCGAGTTCGAGTCCCGCCGTAAACATGAAGTTTTTTAGTTTATAGAAGTTTTGTCGAACTTTCTGGAATTATTTGTGTGAAAGAAATGAAAAATTAAAGAGCGAGAAGGAGAATAAATAAAAATGAATAACGAAATTATTGGAAGGTTCTGGAGGCATGACGATCAAAAAGAATAACGAAATTGAATGTTCCAGAACCTGACCGGGGGTATATAAGCGGAACTGCGGCTCACCGCTGGCAGTTGAGTTCTAAGTCTAAAGCGATTCGGAAGAAAAGGAAGAAGTGAGAAAGAAGAAAAGTGAGTGAAATAGTGAAGTGCAGTGAAATAGTGAAGTGCAGTCAGTTAAGTGAGTTAAGTCAGCGTGAACGGCAAAGTTGTGTCAGTCGGCCGGACTCTGCTGGAGAGGAACGCCGATAACTTAACTCCGTGGACGCTGTAACTTAAGTGCAATAGAAAGTCTGAAAACCGGTATTAGTGTTTCATTTCATCCAATCCCGTAACCCAAGCCCGCATAGTCAGGAACGTGACGTCAGGCACGTAACATTATGTTATTTGTAAGATTGGGAATGTCAAGCTTCAGCACGAATGTGTCATGTCAGCTGGTCCGGAATTACCAGTGGCCTCACAGAAAACTGAATCACCCACAGGAATCACCCTTGCGGTTGTCTGATAGAGAATGTCTTGTAGCAATATTGCAGTCTTTGTATCCAATCGTATTACATAAATATATTGTTTAAATAAATTAAATTGAGATGGATTTGGTGTTGCGTCGTGAAGTAATCATAAGCAACATACTCACCTCCCGCCATTACAAATCCCAAATCCCTTAAACTTCAAATCTTTATCTCCAAAAAGCCGGCAACGCACTCGCAACTCAACACCTCCAGTATTGAAAGTGTCAATGGGCATCTCGAATCTAGACTAACATTATAAAGAGGCATATGTCCCCTACATACCTACACACTTACAAATTACAAATTTTAATCTTTGGAACAGCTGTCGGATTTCCAAAATTGCTGCACTAATAGATAACTACAATGTTCCTTAGTGCTATAGGTTAGGATAAAACATCACTCTACGAACGAATGGAGCCGAGCAACGGGTGAAACGGCTCGAGAATAGTTAGTTTCTTAAAATCAGGGGATACGTTTCATTCCGCGACTATTATACTATAAAAATAGCAAATTGCTTCAATAACATAGCATTGAAAAATAAGAGGAAGACCATGAAGTACTACATACGTGACTATGAGCGAAGTAGGATACCTAATAGACTTTTAACTTCAAATGAATCTAATTAATAACACTACTAAAACTAAATTTATAATAGGGAAATGATACGTCCTTCTCAACTGGTTACACATATTAGGATCTAGATTATTTAGTATACCTAAGTATACATCGTATACATACATATGTCCTTTATTTAATTTTCCTGAAAAAATAACCTACTTCAGACTATTACAGATGGGGCCCAACAGGGACGATGTTCAGCCAGGATTGTGGCTAGCGCATTAAGGTATTGCGGCCTCAGTCTGCAGCAGTCGAAGAACCGGAGGGAGTGTGAATCTCTCTTTCCCTCCTACATTATCCTGGGCGAGAGAAGACTTTACATTCTGTCTTTCCGAAGAAAAAACACACTTGCAATGCCAGAAGAGTTGTAAATGTAGCCGACCTTCTGGTGATTAGGTCTTCTATAACCTCAACAAACACGGCAGATTACAAGGAAGGAAGGAAGGCGTTGTTACAAACCAGTTACCTGTGTATCGCTCTGGTCGAGACGGCCCAATAATGCCAAAGCATGGGTCTCCGGTCTCTCACACGAAAAGTAAATTTGGCTAATTGTTGAGTGGTCTGCTAGCCTAGTGTTCCAGCTTACACATTCAATTCAGACGTCGTGATAGTGTCGCTCCAGTTATTTACCATCGTTTGTATTTGACTTGCACGTCATTTAGTGAAACTTCACTAGCTTTTACACCATACGATGCAATGTTTTTATTATTGCTGCGGGAACTAAATAAATATTTCAATTGGTCGCTGGTCCTTGGATGAGGGATTTGTTCAGCTGTAGACTTGTGATTCTGTGTGATGATAAATGTGTATTTATGTGTAATGGGATGCTCGCTACAGCTTTAGTTAAAACTTCGGAACTATTTGAATTAGCAGGTGATGGGTACAAGCTGATGATGATGAATTTTAACTCTAGTTGTACGTAAGTAATAGGACTTATTATACTATAGATATGTATCTTCGTGAAACACAAATATAGGTACTTCTTTTTGTTTTTTGTCATGTTGTGATAGGATGGAAAACGAGCATACGGATTACAGATTACGCCGCCCATGGACAACTCAACGCTAGAGGAGTTACGAGTAGGTAAGGTTTCGGGAAATTTAGGGATTGGGGAGGAAAATATTTGAGCCTTCAATAAGCTCTCTTATACGGCGAAAAACACCAGTGAAGTAGTTTTACGCTGGTTTTCTGTGATGAATTTTGAACGATATAAATTATGTAAAACTCGCTTTACGTTCATGAAAAAAATATATCAAAAACCAACTATATGAACACGACTTGAATTAATTCTTTTTTGTATAATTTATCGTATACTATCCGACATCGTCGCGTAGTCGTGTCGTGTGGTATAAACATGCAGTGATAGTGCCCCTCTGAACAGTCGAGGCCGGTCAGTCAGTCGCAACCGTACTGCGGAACACTCCACAATATTGTGAGTACATTTATATTCCATATTTATTTATTTTCGATATGTTACGTTGATACGTAATTTACAAAGTGATTTTTTATAGACAAATATTTTATTTGGAAAGTATATTGTCAGTTTTAGCTTTGGTAGGTACTTTATTTAGTTGTTCGATTATTTACGATTTTTACTGTTTCGATTATTTTAGTTATCTGTTTGTTTTGTTTTTTTTAGTGTTTACGTACCTACTTACACTAATTTTGCAATTGTCGTAATATTCGTAGATTACTCGTATTGACTTCTTGATTTATTAAATAACTATTTTTGCCCTCGACTTCGTTCACTTGGAATAGTGATTTCCTGCAGATTTTTGGTATAAAAAGTATCCTATGTCCTTTCTCGAGTTCCAAACTATGTCTGTACCAAATTTTACAGAAATCGGTTAAGTAGTTTAGGCGTGGAGAGAAGACAGACAGACAGACAGAGTTAGTTCCGCATTTATAATATTAGTTTGGATTGAAAATCGTATAGCAATGATTATTAATGAATTGTTTGATGGAAGTTATCTTTTTAATTATTATAGTTGAAACTTTATCGTATTTCATTGAAGCAGATAAGTTAAGTACTTATTTATAATTAAAGTTTCGTTTGCGTATCAATTAACAATATTTTGTCTTACTTAATATTATAAATGCGAAAGTTACGATGTTTGGATGTTTGTTACTCAAGTACGCCAAAACGGCTGGACGAATCTGGATGAAATTTGGCACAGGCATAGGATACACTCCGGAATAGGAAATAGGCTACTTTTTATCAACATACAACGCGGGCGAAGCTGTATTCGGAATCTAGTTTAATTATATAATATGAAAATATTTGAAACAATATACATATACTGGTATAAAAACAAAATTAAAAAACAAACAATGTACTCGCAATGTTTTATCATGTATTTCTGATTTCAATTATTACATCCGTGAAGTGCAACATTAAGTTAATATCGGAAACTCGAAACTAATAAACAAACACAATATAAAAAATGATTTACATATACCTAAAAACATAGAGAGAGTTTACATATCCATTTAATACATGATGCACTACGATCGTAAAAATAATTTTCACGTGTGTCGTGGGTGCGTTTACAAACAAACAATTTCACATACATATCACACCCAGACCCGGAACAACAATTTGTAGATCACACAAAGCATTGTTCGGGAATCGAACTCGTAACACGTTTGATGGCAGCCGGTTGCTCAGCCACAGCGTCAACATCTGTCAACAACTCCCGGCGGTTTCACCCGCTGCTCGGCTCCATTTGATCGTAGCGTGATGTTTTATAGCCTGTAGCAATTAGGAACGTTGTAGCTACCAATTAGTGAACGAATTTTGGCAATCCGACCAGCGGTTCCAAAGATTACGCGCTACATACAAACTTACAAATTTAACCTCTTTATAATATTAGTATAGACTAGCAATGATGTATAAAACTATAGATACGTTGTCCGCGCTCTAAAATGACAACATGAAATGAAGGCAATTGACAACATAACGCTTAGTTACGTACACACCAACCTGCCGCGCGACGCTACGTTTGTTTTTAATTTATATCGTGTGTGTAAACCTGTGCGAAACATAAAGAAAGCATGCCGTCGTGTGTGTTCAGACGATGTACAAATTATACTCCAAAAGTTAAAGACAAAAATGTGTCATTTCATGCGTAAGTTCACCAAACAACCTACTTTTATTTTATTTTTTTCAACGCCGGCGCCCGCCATCTTATGGCGGCCATCTTATGAAAATGTAGTTTTACTATTACTTGTCCTGTGATGTAACTGAAGATGTATATTTATCTCCCTCTAGCAAAGGCATTCCATTACACGATGTCATATTTTCTTTCCCTTTCTTTACTCGTAGAAGTAGTTATCTAGTATTTTCGCCGTTTTTAAGCGCCGCGATGTTGGTTCATGACGTGTCTATATATAAAACGTCATTGTAGACTAGGGGCCATTTTCACCAATAAAAGTAACCGTGATTATGTTGGACAAATTCAGTTTAAGCATCTTATTCGATTTAAAGTTTCAATTTGCTTGGTAAATGGAATCCTGTTTAAGCTAAACTAAGTTTTAACTCTTAACGCCTATATCTAGTGATTACTTATATTATTATTATTTTTTTTAGTTTCGTTGTCAAGTACCTATCTTATGACACTAAAAGTAGTTTTTAGTATTTTACATGCAATTTCTTCATACTTTCTTTCTGTTTATACATTCCCTGGACTTTTACGAATATTTCAAGACCAAAACTTTTTAGTCGGTCCAGCCGTTTTAGAGTTTTAGCGAGACTAACGCAAACGATAATTCGAAATGAGACTAGCTGCTCGTCTCCTACAGATCGTAGCGTGATGTTCTATAGCCTATAGGCCTAAAGTATTCCTCGATAAATGGACTAGCAAAAAAAATCTTATTTATGAATGCGTTCAAACAAACAAACTATACAGCTTCTAGATGTGCCACATTTGTGGGTTTAATGTAGGATAGGATAAGTTCGGGATATGAAAGTATTGAACAGTAGAAGAATGTAAAGATTAATTTATTACTAGCGTTTGCCCGCGACTTTGCTCGCGTGGAAAAGTGACTTCCTGCAGATTTTTGGTTTTAAAACTATCCTATGTTCTTTCTCGAATTCCAAACTATGTCTCACACAAATCGGTTCTGTACTTTAGGCGTGAAGAAAAGACAGACAGACAGATTATATCCAACGTGTAGAGTATTCTTAAAGTTTATAGTTTACTTATGTAAGAAGTTAGCAATGGTTGCCACTCTGATTTATTATAGTTAATAGAGTCGTCAGGCCGGTAGATTGGATGTATTGCGAATCAACTGAAACTAAATCAATCATTAATATTGATAAACACTAATTTGACATTTAAGTATATTCATAACTTAAAAGTTTTATATGGAAAATACATTAGTGATAATAACTTAATTCGTAAGGGTTTTAAGAAATTAATCTGTGCACATATTTAGTCGATCGGTAATTTGAGACAGATGCGTTGGTGGACTGCCAGAATTCAGTTAGGTTTTAATTTTTTAGTACTCAATAATATAGCTTTACCAGCCTAAATATTGGTTAAAGGCCATTTAAATGGAAAATACTTAAAAAATGGATCCAAAGTTCTCTGTAAATAACGGCAGGGAATTTCGACTTTATATTGCGTTTTAAATAAATCACCGCGGCTTGATAATTGTTTCTTGTATAATAGATAGCTTACACAATAATTTATTATTATTTTATTTCACAATTTGTGAACTACTCAGAATTATTCCATGTGAGTTCCTATCGAATGACACTGATTTTCATTTCTTTTTTTACAACTCACTCACTCTTTTTTATAATAAACTTACGAAAGAAAGTTCTGTTGGTATGTTATTCTATATTCTATAAGGGATCCATATTGACAATAAACTAGTCGGCAGATTGCCTTTCCGTTCACGCTTAGTCTAGCACAAATAAAACTTAAGAATGATATAACATGTTATAATAATTACAGATTATATGTTAGCCTTAATATGCCTTAGGAAAGCAGTGAAGCTAATTTATATCTAGCCTAAAGCTAAATCTGATGACTTAATACTGGAAATGTATCCAGTATCTACCTACCATCTACTTTAGAAGTTGGAAGAGCAACAACCTCAGTGTGTTGCGCAACAGTTACCTCACAGACTTAGCGCAGCTGATCTAACAGACATTACTATAACTGTATATTACTAGATATAAATAATTATTACGAACGCTCGTAAATCAATTGTAGTTATATAAATCATTTTGTGGGAGAGCCATGTTTCGACAGATATCAGTGGGCTCGACCGGAGTGATGCCACGACGTCATAGAATACTGTCGTGAAATAACTACACCGTTGTGTCTTTCCCCTCCCCCAATCCCTAAATCCCCAAAACCCTAATTCTCAAAAGGTCGGCAACTTTCTCTTGGTTTCTTCGTTGTTGCGAGCGTCCACGAGCGGCGCTGATAGTTTACTTCGGGATAATGCAATCATAATTAGAACATGAACTCGGATCTAACACTAACTAGATGAGGCCTCATTATGTCACGGATTACGATGCAACAAGCAAGAGCTATCCATTACAACATAGTAAAAAGCTTTTAGTAAATGAGTTCAAAGAAAAAACCCATTATCTAAGAAGATATTATAACAAAAACATCTTCAGTTTTATGTTAAGTTATTTCATTTGATTTCCTCTTTAAATACTTAAATAAATTACACGGGTCAGATTTGATATCAAAATACATAGATACTTACTTTTGTGGGATATTTAGATAGGCAATTATTTTTAAATTTCATTATTAAAAATCTTGAGTTGGCGGTCTAGAGACAAATTTTGATTGGCCGTAGCCGAATGAGAGACTACTGAAACAATAATTTCAACGAACTTATAGCGAATATAATAAAAGAAACAACTTGAGATCAGTTAAGATGTTCAGTCCCAGTTTTACTGTACATATGTGTTTTAGGAAATCTTTTTTATTTTTCGGCTATTTCCTATCAGGCGAGACATCAAATGCATTGCATGGGACATTAAATATCTACTAATATCATTCTACTTTTCTAGAAAAAACAATAAATATAATATCAAGTCGAAGAGTTTCTTACTTTAATTTTTGAAAGCTAATCTCCGGAAAAAAATAGTTCGAAAAAAATGTTTTGGAGGCCAATCTGTCTGGAGCTTGTGTGTTGTTTAATGTTCAAACCTTCTCCTTCTGAGAAGAGGCCTTTGCTTAGCAGTGTGCACTTATAGGGTGATGCTATAATTTATAGCAGTGTCTAGACATAGTAGCTAGTCATTTACGTAATGTAATAAAATAGTACTCGAGTATCAGTAGTCTACAGACTCTGCGAACATCATTGGTCGGAAGAGTTCATCCGGTGTCCAATGTGTGTGATGATCAATTTGTTTGGCTCATGATTGTAGTGGAGGGGGAAAGGTGCGCTTGCGCCGGTAAT